CCCGTCCTCCACCCTGCCAAGTGGGATCCAGGCTTAGGTCTCACTGGCTCCGAGTGGCCTGGACGGGGTCATGGTCTATTCTTCCATCCGTCAGTTAGAAGGGTGCGGAGACAGGGTTGTGTGATCATCTTAAGTCACTGGAGGTCAAAACCCGGAGCAAGCAGCGGGTCAGTCCCACCCAAAGAACAAGCCTAAGCAATCCAAGGTCCAGTGTGGAAGAGAGAAGGGGTTAAGGCCAGAGCAGAGGCCAAGGGCTGTCCCCTGGTACTCTCCAGTGGCCTTAGCACCCGCTGTTCCCTGCCTGAACACCTCCCCCCACCTGTCCCCTCAAGTCACTGCATCCCATACCCTGGGATAGACGGGCTTCCTCACGGTCTCCTTGAGCTCCCCTCCCAGGGCTGGGCTGTGTTCCCACAGCCACCTCTGAGCTCAGGTCATGGTGTGTCTTATTTATTTGGACACTTTCAGCAAGATACAATTCATATACCCATTCAAAATTTATATTTCAAGCTGGGCACAGTGGCATATGCCTGTAATGCCAGTGGCTCGGGAGGCTGAGGCAGGAGGATTACAAGTTTGAGGCCAGCCTCAGCAACTTAGTGAGGCTCTAAGAAACTTAGTGAGACCCTGTCTCAAAATTAAAAAAATAAAATAAAAGGGGCTAGGGATGTGGTTCACTGGTTAAACACCCCCTGGGTTCAATCCCTGGTACCAAAACAAACAAACAAACAAAAAATAAAACCAAGTAGTGTCTTCCTGTCTCCAAATACATAAATATGTGGCAAACAAGAAAGGCGTTTGCTTCAGCTCTGTCTTTGCTCAGTAATATAGTCAAGCAAGAGTTTGTTTCCAAGTGAAAGCTGTGTAAGCGTTTTTGTTTATGTCAAATAAAATCCCTGTTTATTATCTGCCATTCATAGGATCCATCCGCAGCCCAGTACCTTCTGTGTCAGGGGTTCCAATAGAAATATTCACATTTTGTTCTAAAAAAAAAACAAAAACAAAAAGACCACAAGTCACAAAGAGATACCACTTTATACTCATCTGGAAGGCTGTCACTAAAACAAATTAAAACGAATTCTACAACCAGCCAGTGTTGGCCGGAGGTGGTGCTGGAACTTAGATGCCTTGTTGGTGGGAATGGAGGGGGTGCTGCCGAGGAAATCACGCCACCAGCAGTGCCGCCCCCGGGTGGGCACACACAAGAGGGGTCAGCGGGGACCCAACAGACACTTGTACCCGGGTGCTCATAGCAGCAGCGAAATGACCATCGCCAGATAACTAGGGAATGAAATGTGGTCCATGACGCACCCGAGTAGGACCCAGCCTTCAGAAGGAAGGGATCCCACGCGCGTTGCACCAGGACGCACCTGGAGGGGTCATGCCCAACACAGGCCTGTCCAGACCGTCTGCACATTTTAAATTGGGTTCCTTTTTACTATTGAATACTAAGAGTTTTTACATATTGTGGAAATGAGACCCTCATTCCATACCATAAACTATTTGCAAATACTTGAGCCGTCTTTTCACTTTTTTAAAAGAAAGTTAGGAACTGGGGTCTCCGTTGTCCAAGTTGGCCTCAAACGCCCAGGCTCAGCCTCAGCCTCCAAGGCGGCTGGGACTACAGGACACCACTGACCTGGCCCTCTGCCCACTCTTGCTGATGTCCTCCACAGCACATGTCTTCATTTTGACCAAGTCCAGTCTTTTTTGTTGTTGTCTTTTGTGGCTTGTGCTTTGGTGTCTAAGAGAGATGTGAAGACTTACCTGTTTTCTTCTTTTTTTTTTTTAATTCTTTTTTTAGTTGTAGTTGACACAATGCCTTTGTTTTATTTATCTATTTTTAAGTGGTGCTGAGGATCGAACCCAGGGCCTGGTATGTGTGAGGTAAAGGCTCGGTCACTGAGCCACATCCCAGCCCCTTACCAGTTTTCTTCTAAGAGATCATTTGACCCTTAAATTGACCTATGTCTAAACTTATGCCGGTACCCTTCCTTCCTGGGGAGTGAGCCCAGTGCGCTTTACCACTGAGTCACATCCCCAACGCTTATTTTTGAGATAGGTTCTCACTAGGTTGCTGAGGCTGGCCTTGAACTGGCAATCCTCCTGCCTCTGCCTCCGGAGTTGCTGGGGTGAAGATGTGCAACACAGCACTTGGCTTTTCTTGATTTCGTTAGCTTTGTGGTAAATTTTAAAATTGAGGAGTTGGTCACCTTTGTTACTATTTGGGGTGGTGCTGGGGATTAACTCAGGGGCACTTGACCACTGAGCCACATCCCCAGCCTATTGTGAAACAGAATATCATTGAATTGCTTAGCGCCCCACTGTTGCTGAGGCTGGCTTTGAACTCGCGATCCTCCTGCCTCAGCCTCCCAAGCTGCTGGGATTATAGGCCACCTTTATTACTTTTCAACAGTGTGTAGGTCACTCTGGATTCCCCGACTTACAGTTCAATTTGAGGATCAGCTTGCGAATCTGTGCAAAGAAGCCAGACATGAGCTCAGTGAAGACTGTGCTGACTTGGTAGATCAACTTGGGGAACACCTCATCTGAACCCCGTATCCTCTGACCCACATATAGGGAACGTCATTTCATTTACTTAGGCCTTCTTTTTCCCAATGTGTGGACAGTTCTCAGGGTTCAAGTTCTGCTCTTCTGTTGAACCCACCCCTGCCCCTGGGGCACTCTACCCCAGCCCCATCCAGCCCTTTCTAGTTTTCCTTCTTAATTCTTTTGGTTGAAGGTGGACAGTACCTTCACTCACTTCCTTTATGCGGTGCTGAGGGTCAAACCTAGAGCCTCACCACGGGCGCTAGGCAAGCGCTCCACCACTGGGCCTCGACCAAGCCCCGGCCCTTCTAGCTTCATTCCGACTGTCCATTGCTGAGTGTATGGAAATGCACTCCACGTCTGCAGTGCCTGCCGTCCTCCTGCTCATTTGTAAATCTTTGCCTAATGCAGTGGGCAGGCATTTTTGAAGTCACCCTGGCCAACAGGCTAGAAGGGCAAGACTGGGGTCAGGCCACCTGCTGGCTTGGTCAGTAGCAGTGGGGAGAGAGAAGTGGGTGGACTGGACTCGCAGGACTGGGGTGGGGGTGGGGAAAGGGCCCATCAAGGGCAGGGCCTGGTGTTTGGCCCGGATCCTATTTACCAGGACTGGAGAGGGTTTGAACGTTAATGTGCCTTTAAACAGCTCAGAGGGCAGCTGAATAAGCCCAGGGGACTCACAACAGCGCTAAGACCACCCCTGGTGTTGGAGAAGGGGATCCACATTGCTGGGAAGGACACAGGACACAGGGGAGAGGACAACATCAGGGAGTCTGTCTCCTCTCCTCCCTCCACAACCCTGGCTGGTGTGTCTGCACCGTCGATGGCCGTGTGACGGACAGCTCAGCAGACCCGAGGGGGCAGGGCGATGTTCTGAGGGGCCACCCACCTCAGAGGGGTCCTGTTGGAGGAGGTCCAGCCCGAGGGACAGGCACGTAGGGTGCTCATTAGATGAGTGTTCTCTGTGCCAGGTGGCTCTGCCCAGGACATGAGCAAGAACGAAGCTCTGGTCAGACGCACAGGGCGAGTCCTCCAACACGGAGCCCAGGGGAGGCACTGGGCCCTGTGGCTCCAAGTTGGCTTTCAGGCCGCCTGCAGGGCAGCATGTCCAGCTGGGAACTCCAGGTGGCAGGGGGCAGAGCAAGGGCTGTCACTTAGGCTGGCCTGGGGAGTGGACAGTCAGGCCCTGCCAAGCTCCCCACTGCCACCCCCCACCCAGCCACCTGCAACCCCCCAGGCAGGTGGAGCTGCTGCTGGGGTCAGTGGGAGCTCCAGGTGAGGCGAGTGCTTTCAGGCGCATGTTAATCCCTGGGCCAGCTGAGGAGGGATGCTGGATTTGAGGGACCCAGTGAGTAATGCTGTCCAAGTGTGGCCCTTGTCAGCACTGCCAGGAGCAGGTTAGCAATGCAGACTCCTCCCAGGAGCCTGGAGCCAGAACCTGGGGTCCACATGCTTGCTGAGGTTGGAGAACCCCGGGATCTGACATCCAGCCTGCTCCTCAGGCTTCTGTTCAGACACCTTTGGGAATCCAAGGCCACTGGGGGTCAGGGGCAGGAGCTGTGGCTGAGAGGCCACTCTTGGTAGTGTGCTGGCCAACTGACACGCACCCTGAGGTCCTTTCCATCTGGATTTCTAAGGTAGGGTGAACTCAGGAACATCCTAACACTGCCACAAATACAGCAGCTGCAGCCAATAGCCCTGTCCCAGGCCTGACCGCCAGGCACTGGACACTCTCCAGTCCTATGAGGCCCAGGTTCTCAGCATGATCTGACACCTGTTGGCTGGGGGGTGGCGGGTGGCAGCAGAACCTTCTTCAGGCTCTGGATTCTGTAGTTTTCTAGGCAGAGCTTCGGATGGATGAATCACAAAATCAATATGCTTTGCGAAAGAAGCCAGAACCAAGGAGGCTGCGCTTGCGACTCTCTGCCGGGAAGCTCGAGACAGGCACGCTCACCGGGGTGCAAGCATTGGAGCAGGCACGGTGACTCTGGCTGGAGGGCGCCTGGGAACCTCACGGACTGGTGTGAATGTTCCAGAGGCTGGGCTGCTGCACACAGTTGTCAACTCAAACTGTTCCTTTAAAAATGAATTTTACTGCGTGAAAAACAATCCCTCAATTTAAAACGTCTTCTCCTGGGGAGATAAGGCGTTGGGACTGAATGGCTTTCACAAATGCTCCCTCTAAAGTCCCGGGCTTCCTGATCCTGATGGGGGACAACTGGCAGAGCTCTTTGGTGACTGGTGCCAGGAGGAGGCACAGTTCAGCCTGCGTTGCCTCGAGTCTCCACTGCCACCTCCCCACAAGTGGCAGCAGTGCCCAGTCCCAATTCAGAAGGCACCAGGACCCCACGCGGGCAGGACCCAGGCTGAGTCTGGTCTGAGAGCTCTCCGAGCAGGCGGGGCAGGTGGGAGGCAGCTGCTACTCTGATGAACAAAATCACAAAGAAAAGTGATTCGAGGGAGGTGGAGAGAGGGCATCCAGGAGCCAGGCTCCCTCAGGTACAAACACCCACTTCCGGCATAGGATCTTTATTGGACATGGTTGCATCACAGCGAGAGATGTCCTCCACAATCGCCTGACCTCATCCCACCCCAGCCCATCCCTGCAACAAGCGCACATGGACGCTCTTCATTGACATTAGTGCTAGAAAGTCCAGAAAACTCCTCCACCCACTGATCCAGAAAGCACATAGCGTTTACAGACCCGCAAGCCCTTCATCAAATGAAACTTGGTTCTGGATTAACAGTTTGTGCTAGCATGTTGGCCACTGTGCCCAGCTTTTTTGAGGTCATGTGACCAGGCGAACGCCATGCACGAGCTGCAGAAGCTCCTTAAGGGGCCGAGACCCTCTGTGGAGAGGATTTCCGACCTGTGAGAGCAGCAGTGCCCTTGCTGCTCAGCAGGCCCACCCCGCAGCCTCAACAGGCCCCAAGGTACCTCCCTGTCTCTCCCTCCTTTCCTGGATCATCCAGACTCTGTCCTGTCAGGACCCCACCTGGTCACCCACGCAATGCAATCACATCCTTGCTCCCTGGCTTGTCCCCTCCTAGAGTATTCTTCACACAGGACCTCAGGGGGTGTACCCATCCTTCCCTGGGCAGTGAGCCATCTAAAAGCAGGATCTACTTCTCAAGCACACCCCTAGAGGGGGGCACACATGCATCACCAGGCCACAGAAGTGGCCCCAGGGGAATGGAGCCAGGGCAGTTTGCCAACCAATAACCACGTTCCAGGTGGTGACAAGTGTCAGCGTTGACTCAGGTGGCTGTCTTCAGGACTCCCTGCCAGAACACCCCAGGGAAAACCAGAGTAAAGAGCAAATCTTTCAGAACAGTTAGTATGTTCTAAACAAATGTCTTGTTGGTAAATTGAGAGCTATAAGTCAAAGTCCTGAATCCTAAAAGGACAAGAAAAGCAGCTGAGCCTGGTGTCACACTGACCTCTGTGAGACGGGGACGGGGGCAAGCTGGGCGAGGTGTGGGGCTCAGGAGCAGGGCTAGAGCAGCCACTGGGCAGCTGGCCGTGTGACTCACTGGCAGCTCTCCTGGGTGGATGGAGCTGGGCCTGAGACCTCACCAGGTTCTCCAAGGCTCTAAAAGCCTCCCTTGAACAAAGAGCTTCAGGGTGGGGGAGATGGCCAGACAGCCATTTGCAAGGGTCGGTCATCTTTTGACTGGGGACTGAACCCAGGGGGGCTTTCTTACTGAACCACATTCCCAGCCCTTCTTCTTTTTTTTTTTTAATTTGAGGCAGGTTCTCACTGAATTGCTGAAGGCCTAAGTTGCTGAGGCTGCCTCCTGCCTCAGCCTCCCGAGCTGCTGGGATTACAGGCGTGGCCTCAGCACCCAGCTCAACAGTCATCTTCCACACTGCCTGCAGGGATGGGCTCGTGGGGAAGAGTCACACATGGTCCAGGCTATGACGAACAGTGTAACCTCCATAAAATTCTCCTTAGCTTGGGAAACACACTCTGCACAGAGCAGCTTGGAGAAAATGCTGCAATGCACCAAGGCCCTCGCAGTCCTCCCAGCGCGCCCGCCCGCGGGGAGCCAGCAGGCACAGCAGAGGGGCGAGGAGGAGGGAGGCTGTGGAGCAGAGATCCTGATGAGATCATGGTGCGGAGCGGTGATCTCGCCACAGCAGTCTGGGTGTATGTGTGTGTGTGTGGGGGCACAGAGGCCGCGTTGCCTTGGCTGGCTGGACATGTGGTAGGGAGAAAGAATCTAGGTGGTTTTACTCTAAAGTGGGTTCTTGGAGAAAAAAGGACAAAGAAAAACCACCGACTCAGGCCATGGGTCTGATAAAGCATCTTTCAGACTGGAGCAAACTGCTCATTACAGGAGAGTGAGCTGCCAATTTGCCAGAGTCATGCTGAATATCACCAAATGCAGTGCCACTCAAATTTTAAAGCACCGAGGGATCAAGAAATAGGATGATCGGATCCTTGGCCAGGATTAAGAGATCAATGATTGTTCTTGTTGTCTAAGAAATAAATTTCTAGCAAAATACACACTTTATTAGATTTCACAGCCAGCAGCACTTCTAGCCCACAGCAGATTCTCGGAGGAATCACGGACATTTTGCGTAGGCAGAAGCAGGGCGGGGGAGCGTCAGGCAGAGCTATAAATACCTACGGCTCTGCCTCGGGCACCCCATCTTCTCTGCCCAGTGCCTGAATACTGCAAGGGCTTCCTGTGCAAACACTACAGTGAGCCTGGTGGGCCAGGAAGGTCAGGCTGCAGGAGGTGGCTTGTCAGTGGGGGCAACTCCCCAGCTTTGGATCCTGATCAGTCCTCTTTGTTCAAGGGCAGAGATGGACCCTGGGGCCTGCTATTAAGTGGTGGAGAAAGAGAGAGTGAATTACAGACTGAGATGGAGAGCGTCAATGGTGTTTCTGGTCTGGGCCGAGCCTGCTTTGCCAGTCCTGGGCTGGGGGTTGGTTCTTCATCGCCAGCCTGACTTCAAGCCTTTGGTGGCTATTCAGAACACGGGCAGGAAACCACCCATGGCCACCTGCACCTGGGATCCACCTGGTGTCATGTGCACAGGTTTGCTCCAGGAGGGTCAGCCTGCCAGACTGCAGCTGCTCAGTCTGACGGAGACTCGGGTCCACCAGCCTTCCCTTTGCCACCCCACTTGCTTCCTGGCCTTAAAAAGCCAGAGGACAGCAGCACCAGAACCTCCTGGCGGAGAGGTCTTGCCACACTTTCTGTTCCTGCAAAGGCGGCTGGGCCTCGTCCATATCTGCTGCTGGGGGAGGTGCAGACGGGAGTTTCAGCAGTCAAAGAAGGAGACACATGCCTGCAGCCCTGGTATCATGTTTAGGCACAGGAAAACCAAGTGTTGAACTACTCCCTTCCTCCCTCCAACTCTGCTCCCGGCCCACAGCCCCAATTAACTTGGGGAGAAAAAGGAAAAAGGAAAAGTCTCCAAGTAAATCCTCAAGGCCTGTTTTTCCTTCTCTTGAGGACAGGAAGATGCTCACACTCCCCTACACACACACCTGCCTGAGGGAGCAGCGCCACGGCTGGGCAGAGGCCCGTGCCTCCTCAGCAACAGCCAGAGGGCGGGAGGGTGTGGACGGCTAAGGAAAGTGCGCAGGAAGGACGCTGCTTCCCGGAGCCCAAGTGGCAGGGACAGAGAGAATCACCATTTTCTGAGCACTTTTCAGGCTCCCAAAACTAACACAGTGAGGGAGCCACAGGCCCCATGGTTCCTGACTGGCCCTTCCGAGCCAGGAAGACCTGTCCCTTGCAGGCAGCTCTCCCACAAGCCGAGGCAGGGTCTGGCTGGAGCTTCTGGAAGTGACCCTACCTAGCTAGGCCACCAAGCATCACAAAGCTTTCCTGATGGGGTGTATTTGGTCACTGTAAGCCCTCCATCACAAGGGACCGCCTGAGTGTGTCCCACCATTTGAAGGACTCCTCTCCAGTCACTCTACTCCCCCCGAGAGCCACCAGGGCTCCTCCCACACCCTGCATCTTGGAGGGACTCCCTGGGTAGGGAGGGACCCTGCCACCCGCAGCTGGTCAGCTGATGCGCTGCCTCCACCAAGGCTCCTGGAGCCCGGGGTGATGTGCTGAACCACATGGAAGCCCCACGTGCCATGAGGCACTCGCTGAAATGCCCAATTTCTGCCCCAGCTGTTCTTAAGGAAAATTTGTCCCTGTTTTCTTCTAAATTCTGATCACATTTTAAAAATAAAAGAAAAGTAAAGCCTCAAGAGGGGAAGAAGACAGGAGGGCTGTTGCTCTGCTCAGGAGGGGCCCCAGGGAGACCCGGGGATGCTTCTGCGCTTAAAGACAGTTCCATCCCGCCCTCAGGAAGCCCATGTCCCTCCAGTGGGGTTGTGTCCTGGGGCTGGGACCCTGACAGTGACAGGATGGCACATAGGCAACAGGCTTCCTGTGCCCTCAGTGCCGGTCACTGCCAGGGTCTGGAGCAGAGGTCAGGGCGCCACTCGGGCTGGGACCTGGGCAGCTGCTGGGCACCAGTGGAGCTTGGCCTCACCTCCTAGGACGGTTCCGATGCATTTTCACCTCCCAAAGATGTAAGGACACCCTCCCAGTCCCTTTTGGATGTCCTTAGAGACCTGTGGCCATTCCCCAGAGCAGCAGACAGCCGCCGAGGCCGGCCACTGCAGCGCTCAGGGCCACCACTGTGTGGGCCTATGGGCCCATTAGGAATGTTTCAGTGACAGGCAGGCTCCTCTCCTCCTCCTCCTCACTCCGACCTCCCTTTCCCCTGAGGACAGTCCCAGGTGCCTGGCACCAGCTACAGATCCAGTTTCCCTCAAAGAGTACAAAGTAGGTGTCCATGGCACTTCACCCTGCCCCAAGCTCTGCAGTGTCGCTGTCGGAGGCCGGCGGTGGACTGTCGGAACTGCTCTTGCTCACCAAGAGGACTACGGGGTAAGCTGCAGTGTTCTCTGACAGCGCCATCCTCCGGGTCGGCGCTCACGCGGTGCCTTCCCAGTCACCCGGGGGCTCTGCAGCGCCGTTGGTCACCTTCTTGACTTTCTTCATGTTTTCCATCACCCCTGATGTCGTCACTCTGAGAAAGGGAGAGAACAGAAACAATGAGGGCCCTCTTGCAGGCGATCATGAAGCACCCACCACCTAGCACATGGCTGGGGCTCAGGACTGGACAGAACTGGAGGCCTCCTGCCCTCCCTGTGAACTGTACGGTCACTTGAGCTGAAGTGCAGCAAATAATTCTCACTTTTCAGAACAGTCATGAGAAAAAAATTCTCCTTATCAATAAATATCAGCTGTCATTATCACAACCATCATCGCTGCTCTTCATTGCTGCAGCCTCCACAGCTTTTACTGTGCACAGATGACAATCACGGTTAGGAGACCAATATCTGTCATAATTAACACTTGGAAAGGGAAGCTCGCCAGCTGTGCGGATTGTAATGACCAGCCATGCTGGGTCACTTCTCAGTGATGGACAGAATCACAGATTAGGAGGAAACTTCTGGGCTCAAAGGCTCTTTGCCCATTGGAGACGGTGAAGCTCTCTCGGCAGACTCAGGCTCCGTCTCAGCAGGCAGAGGTCAGCTGTGCTCAGCACGTGGCCTGCTTCACCCTGCGTGCGCCCCCGGGGCACCTCTTCTGCCTGCTGGTGCCTAGCACTAAGGAGGTGCCCCGGAGCTGCTCACTGAACAAGAATTAAACACAGAAGCGAAGAGCCCAGCCAGCCAGCCCCTCCTATCAGTAAGGACGGCACCACCTCTGGAGAAAGGGCGCCTGTGAGGAGACGTCGCCTGCCTTCCGGGTGGCAAGGGCCCAGGTTGAGTGCTCCATATCCACCAAGGAGCTGAGTGGCGCTACAATCAGGGGACACCAAGAGAGACGCCAAGTGCCAAAAACCACCTGGCCCAGCCCTGCCCCTTTCCTGATCAGTAAAATCAACTCCATCAACTTGACAGACCCTCCAAGGACCAACCTACCCCCTACCAACTACCTAATCCTAATATTATTATTATTAATATTAATATATAATATTAATAGTGACACAGTGGCCCTATATGGGACACACCCAGAGTTACCCTTCTGGACCCTTTCATGGATATGGAAAGCCCCCCCCCCCACTTTGTGCTGCTTCTGTAGCCAGGTCTTGGGGCCCTGCGATCCTCCCTGAGTGGGGACTTTCCACCAACAAGGGTCCTTCGGGCGCAGGTTATCTGTACTGTGACAAAGCTGGCACCAGACATGCTGCTGAATGTGGATGTCAGGGGAACTGAGGGACTCCTGCAGAGGTGACAGACAGGGGACAAACACCCCAAGACAAAGGAGGGGGCTCCCGGCCTGGCCTTGGGAAGGGATGGTGCTCTTGGGGGGGAAGCCGCAGAGCCCTGTCCCACCTAGGCTATAGAGCCAGAGCCTCGGCATAGCACGAGGACCAGAGCCTCTCCAGCTCCACACAGCGCCCCCTCCCCCCGTTCCCCCCTCTGGCTCAGACCACAGCAGGAGACAGAAGTCTTCAGACACCCCAGTGAGGTCACACTGTCCCCGGGGGAATGGTGCCTCCCTAGTAAAGAATAAGGCACAGCTCACATGGCCACCCAAGCCAAGCACATTCCCGTGACCCGGGTGCAGTCTGACGGGAGGCTTCCATCCCCCGAGAACCTTCCTCTGTAGATGGGCGCCCACTGGAAACAACTTCAAGGCCCAGTGCAAGGTCACAGAAACAGAACTGGTACTGCGGGTCTGCAGGACCCACAGCCAGGAGGGGCGGCATTCAGGGACGTGCGCAGAGTGGGCGCCAGGACTGAGGAGGGACAGTCTAGGAGCCTCGCTGGCCGGCTCTGGCGAGAAGCCCCTCTGCTGGGGGAGTGGAAGCTGGAGGGCTGGACTGAGGCGGGGAGGAGCTGGCCGGCAAGAAGCTGGGGGGTGGCGCTCCACAAAGAACTGTCCCACCCTGGAGAAGATGGGGAGGGGTGTGGGGGGTGCTGGGTGGAGCCCCACCAGACCTGGCGGCACAGCAGGGTCACTTAGGTGAACTGGGCTGGCATGAACAAATCACAGACTCAGAAAACACCTTTTTTGGGGGCGTTTCAGGACAGCTCCTCTACCCCAGCTGTAAGCTCCCACAGGGGCAAGGGAAAACCAAGGGAGCAGGCGAAAGCGCGAGCACGCCCAGAACCCTGGTTTGTATTGAGAACATTCCATCCAAAAAAGGAAAAAGATAGTATTACAGAGGAATGAGAGGCAGCCCACTGCCACCGGGAAACCCCACTCCCAGAGCTCCACCCCACTGCCCAGTGAAGGCGAAGTCCACCTGCCTTCACAAAGAGCAGACACCAGTTCCACCCTCCATTGCTCAAGGCTAGGGGTACGGGCTTAGCTCCTAGGTGGCAGCTCCTGACACCAATGGATGCACCTGTTTCTAGAATTAAAATATGGTTTTTGGACTTGAAATACACAGAGGCCTGGGTAAGAACTAATTCTGCTGGTCTCCAATTCTCCTGTTTCTACTTTGTTCCAGGCCAAACTCAGGCAGCAGGAAGAGGTTCCTAGAAAGGGAAGCCCAGGGGGACAACTTCATGGCCTTAAGCCACCCCAAGTGTTTCTTCTCCTCTCACTTGTCCCAGTGAGAGAGAAAATTCCTAGCATTAAGGGTACATGTAGCATGCAAAGTGGCTGCCAAGTCTGATCATTAAAATTTCATCTAATACATTTTAACTTACTGGACTTTTTTGACAATAAATTCTGCGACTAAAATTGGTAGGCCCAAGAAGATGTAAGAGCCATAGGGGGGCTGCACTCTCCTCCTCACCCTCCTTCTGAGTAAAGTAGAGGCCTGATGGGGTCAAGGGCTGCAAAGACGCAGGACTGTGGGCAAGCGTGGGCCTCAGAAAGCAGACACAGTGACCCTGAAGCTCTGCCCCAGGGGAGCAGGCTCAGGCCTAGGACCACCTGGCAAGACCCACTTCCCACATGGGCTGTCTCCACAGCCACAGCCCGGCCTCAAAGGCAGGACAGCAGGTGCAGACACACTGGAGAGTGGCGGAGAGTGGCTGGGTGAGGCTTGCACGCCCCACGGGATGAGACCTGCTAGGAAGCTGTGCACCTTTTCTGGGGCATGTGTGTGAGAAACCAGAATACTTCTTCCCATAAAGAGGCTCAACAGGAAGGACCCACTGGTGTGGCTGATGCTTTACAGACAGCCAATGGCTCTGGAGTATAGAGGCCAGGGCTCTCCTTGCCTCTGGCTTGTGCTATTTCTGGAAGATTTAAGAGATGCCATCCAGGTACAGCACTTCCAAGCAGAAGAGATGATAGCCCCAGTGCCATGTCATCCCTGAGAAGCCATAATGAGCCCACATGCTCTCCTGTGGTGGGCATGGCAGCTGGTGGTGAGGCCTCCGTGTCAGGCCACTTCTGCTTTGTCCATCTAAGATGCCCACAGAACTTTCTCAACGGAGCCTTCTCTCCCTTTTGTACAGTGCTCGGGATAGAACCCAGGGCCTCGTACGTGCAAGGCAAGTGCTATGCCACTGAACTATACACCCCTACAGCAGCATTCTTAGCTAAACAGAAATCCTAGAACTTTCCAAACCAATTTCCTGGCCGAGTGAAAGGTGCTCTGCCTGGGTTAGCTCCTGAACTCCTTCCGTTTCACACTGCCGGCTGAACCGAGCCAGCGCTCCCCGGAAACACCCACTCCAAGTTACACCCTCCAGGCCTGACTTCCTGCAGCTGCTCCACGTGCAGCCCCTCTGCCACCACCGTGCAGCTCACTTCACCCTCAAGATCTGGCTCCCAAAGCCACACTCAGCATGATCCAAACACAAGAGTGTAAACTAGGCCATCACAGGGTTCTCCCTGACCCAGCATCCCAACCTTCCCCAGACCTTGCCAGAATAAAGACATTCCAGCTCCCCAGAGTCTGGGGGTCAGTGCATCTCCTCCTTCTCTTCTCAACCTTTTTTTTTTTGGGGGGGGTACAGGGATTGACCCAGGGGAGCTTAACCACGGAGCCACATCCCCAGCCCTTTTTATGTTTTATTCTGAGTCAGGGTCTGGCCTCGAACTTGCCATCCTCCTGCGTCTTCAGGAGTAGCTGGATTACAGGAGTGCGCCCTGTGCCTGGCCTCCTCTGGACTTTAACAGGCATACCCACCAGCTTGCTAAGATGCCTACCCCTACCATCAACAGGGATGGAGAAATCAATTCCGAAACATTAGGGAAAAATCAACTTCAAAACAAAACTTTAAAAACTTTTTGCCCTGAGGCAAATATATCCTCACTTCCACACACAACGGCTAAGGGAAAGGATGTAGGGAACAGGAACTCTGGCCATGTGGTTTTGGAGTTCAATTCTGTAGAGGAAGCCCTTCAGCTTCTAGTTGTCAATCCTGGAAGACCACTGCCAAACATCTGCAGCCAAGATCAAGGCCTCCAGAGGGACTAAATCCACAGCCCCTGCTCCCAGTGAGCCAACGAGGCTGCTGCCTCCAGCTGACCTGCACAAGTGGCACCTGGGCCAACAGTCCCATCTCAGACCTGCTACTTCTGGAAAGGCCCAGCTGCTGGTCCTCCTGCTCCTTCTCCTGCCTATAAAAAGGCATCTATTTCTTCCTCTGCACAGGGAGATGCCGGAAGGGGTCCATCTGGGCACTGCCTTCATTTATTGTCCCAGCAGAGCAGCCAGCACAAAGAGCTGGCCCACACTGCCTGGCAGCCAAGCAGAGCCCAGCATGGGCAGAATCTCGGCCTTTGAATTATAAAAAGGCAAGAGGCGGGTGGCGCTGGGGCAGCGCCTCAGCCCGAAGCTCACAGTGAAACATGACCACTGAGCTGGCTGAGCACACTCAGAGCTCACAAGCAAATAGGCTTAATCACTGTCACCCTTCTAGAAAATGATCGCCCTCTCCTAGAAACAAAGCCCCTAAGTCCCTTACCCTGTGACTCAGAAAAGCCCCAAACAGTACTCAGACCAGATCAAAGTCGCTGTGCCAGCTGTGAACAGCCACTTGGGCATCTGATACAGAGGACATGGAGGATCAGCAGCAGACTCTCAAATGACACTTTCAAAAATAAGCTGCTGTCGACGTTTCTGCCCTGGCCATTGAGTTACAGGAAGCTGCTGCAGTGGGGCTTGACAGCTGCCAAGTTCCTCTCCCCCTGACAGACTAGCAATGGCTGGCAGACACTGCACTTCAAACCTAAGAGCGCCTGTACGTGCACAATCACGGCCTTCTGCTGAAGGTGGAGGGCACCTCTGGAGCAGCAGGATGCCGAGAGCAGCAGGCCCCTCCACAGTGCCACTTTCAGGTAGGCATAGGGGGCAGGGCCGAGGAGAGGAAGGAAGGGGGGTGGCTTACACAGATTCCATTTCCAAGTCGTCTTCCTCCTGAGACAGCTGTAGGTAGGGGTTATCTGAAGCTGGACGGAACTTATACCCCGTCAGAACGAAGAACACCAATGTGGCCATTTCATCCAGGAGCTGCAGATTTAAAAACCACCCCAAAATAAAGGGATCAGCAACACTATCATTCAACACGACCCACATATCCACACAGTTCACTCCTTGCTAACTGCTCACTCAAGGCCTCGGTTCAAGGCCACGTTCATGGCCCCTGAGCACTCCCTAGATCTGAAGCCTAAGCCAGGAGCAGTCTGCCTCTAGGACCAGGGCCTCATGCTTTGGGCACATTAGACCAGCCCTCTACTCCACTGAGCTCCGTTCCCAACTCCTTCAATGGTACTTTTTCTTGGCGGGGGGCATGGGGGGGGGACTGGGAATTGAACTCAGGGGTGCTCTACCACTGAGGTACACCCCGAGCCCTTTCTGGTTTTTGAAACAGGGTCTAAGTTGCTGGGGCTGGCCTGGAACTTGTGATCTTCCTACCTCACTCAGCTTCCTAAGCTGCTGGGATTACAGGCTGTGACACCATATCTGGCTTCACTGTTACCTTTTTTTTTGTACCATGGATTGAAACCAGGTTGCTTAACCACATCCCCAGATCTTTTTATTTTTTATGTTGAGACAGGCTCTTGCCAAGTTGCTTAGGGCCTCACTAAGTTGTGATCCTCCTGCCACAGCCTCCAGAGCCACTAGGATGACAGGTATGCATCCCCATACCTGGCTCACTAGTACCTCTTAAAAGTTCAATTTATACACAAATTTTCCAACACTGGTGCCTAATGTACCAAGTGAATTCTTCAAGAAAAAAGGATAGCTAAACCATCTGGTTGACTCTGGCAGTTAAACAGTTCTAGGGCTGGGGTCACAGCTCAGTTGGTAAGGTGCTAGCCTCGAATACACAAGGCCCTGGGTTCAATCCCCAGCACCACAAAACAACAACACAACAAAAACGGTCCTAGGATTTACAAAGATATTGGATGATTCAAATAATAATAATATTAGGGCAAAGAAGGAGGGAGGGCTGGATTCTAAACTGTTCTAGGCCCGATAGCTAGGAAAGACCCCATCCCATCCAAGCTTTAATTACAGAGGGCAATACTGACTCTGCCTGAAGCTTTTCTCTAAAGAGTTTTAAAATTGAAAACTAAAATCAATAATGCAATTATGCCAGATTTCTCATGTAATCTAGCAGCTCTCCAGAGCAAATAGATAATAATTTTTTTTTTAACAGAGTAGGATTATTCAAGGGTGAAGAATAGAAACAGAACTCTTACAGGGGGGAAAAGGGGGGACCCTGATAAAGGTAACTCCAAATAGATAATCATCATCATCATCTTTTTTTTTTGGTTCTAGGGATTGAACCCAAGGGCGCTTAACCACTGAGCCACATCCTCAGGCCCTTAAAAAAAAAAAAAAAAAAAAAAAAAAAAATATATATATATATATATATATATAGTTGTAGATAAACAAATACCTTTATTTTGTTTATTTATTCTTATGCGGTCCTGAGGATTGAAACCAGTGCCTCATGTGTGAGAGGCAAACACTCATCTACTGAGCCACAACCCAAGTCCCTAGCCCATTGTTTTTTTTTTTTAGATAGTCTCTCTCTAAGTTACTGCGGCAGACTGTGAACTTGCAAATTTCCTGCCTCAGCCTCCCAAACTGCTGGGGTCACAGGTCCCAAATAGGTAACCTTAACTGTCGCTGGAAGAGATGGCAGGTTTTAGGGGCCATTCCCATGTGAATAAGAAACAACCTTAAGTTACATCCCCGGACTTTATCCTCAGACATGAACTCTGCACCATCCCGAGAGCAGTATACCTGGTAGAGCCACTTCCACTGGAATGGAACAGCAAGTTTAAGGAGAAATGCAATGATCCTGGTGAAGTATATGTAACACACAATCTGTATGAAGAGGAAGGAAACAAAACACAAAATCAACAGAGAAGTTATAACCATTTTCTTCGAATAAATTGCTTTCACAAACTCACTACAAAACAGAAAACAGAACCACCCAAAGACTTGCGTTTCTTGGAGTGTTAACTCATAAGTACAGCAGAGAGATGGCCACTCTGCTGGTTACACTGGGAAGGAACTCCTCACTGTCTCTAGGTGGCCAAGATGATGACCACAGCCACCAAGGGAGGACAGCACACTTGGGTACATCTGCTCTTAGACCCTCCTCACCTCTCTAAATCTCATTTCAATCTCCCAGGGGCAGCCTTTTTATTCCCAGGCTTGGAGAGATAATTATCAGTAGTAGCAGCCAACTACAGCCCACAGGGAGAGGCTGACTCCTGGCCTCTCTGCCTGCACTGCTACAAAGGTCCAGGGCCACAGTCAGGACGTACCCACACCTGTCCTCATGGGGAGGCCTCCACTTCACTGCAGTAACGAGGGCTCAGTTGCTGCCCAGGCTGCTCATGGGACCAGGCTCACGGTGGCCAGGCTTGCAGGCAGGCCAGGCATGCTAGGGTTTCGGGCACACCCTTGCCTGGCCATTGAGAATCACTGCTCATGGCCACTTCCTGTGTCAGGAGAGGCTCTGTGGTGACTCCTGTGCCTCTTCTGGTGGAGAACAAGGCCCTTGCAAAAAGTCACCTGCCCCTGCTTCTCTAATGAAATCGATAATGTTCGCCCATATACAAGAATCTTCCAGTGACAGTCGAGGCCAAAACCATGACAAAAGACTTTGCAACTTTCTTTAAGGAGCCACGGAGCAAACTCCAGCAGACCTGCACCTTATGGACACCAAGAAACCACGACCCTAAGAACTCACAGTGGTTCTGACTTGGTGGCTGTGCTTAGCTTACAGGGATCTCTCTGCATACCCGTCACTGTCCCCATTCTTAAGTTTTACAAAAACCGCCTCCATCTCTGTTCTTAAGGGAAATATCACCATTAGCATAACATGAAACTAGTTTCCTGCAGAAAACTTTGAGAGAGAGGGAGGTTCTCTAAATCTTACGGGAAAACATAAAGCCTGCAGAAGGGCACAGGGTGCAGCCCTCATTTTCTTAATGAACAGCAACACCCCAGGGAACGGCTTGAGGGGCACACGCCAGGACTGCAATGGAGAGCCACCACCTCACCATGGCAGCAGCCCTGGACAGGGTCAGCAGGCTCCACAGGGCTGTGCTGGGTTTCTAGAATCCCAGCATTTATATTTTATATCAATGTATTATTTAACCACTTAAAGTTAAATATAAGAAGTAGTAACCCGGATATTTAGTTTCTGTTTCGGGAGGTACAGTCTGTTGTGAAGCAATCCGAGCAGATCCAGGGCTGCCCCTCCTGGGCGTCCATCCCGCTTCCCACATTGGCTCTGCCCCCTGAACTGATCTAACTGAGAGACTCAGGGTCTTTTTTTTTTTTTACTCACCAGGACGTAGTAATGTCTGAAAAGCTTCAGCTTTGCTAAGTTAATGGCAGCTAGGGACAAGAACAACATGAAGAGCTCATTAGCTTCGCTTCTTCCCTGTCTGCGCGCGCAATCGTTCATTCACTCTGAGGCAAGACCCTACCAGCTGAGCCAGCCCCTGAGCAGCCGGGACTCTGGGGGCACACCATTCTTGGGACCCCTGTCCTGTTCATGTGCCCCTCAGTCAAGAGGGGTTGAGACACACCTCACTTCTGGCAAGGAGGCAGATGGGAGGCTCCGTCCACCCCAGGGCCTGGTGAAGCTGCTCTCACAGGCCACCCAGCTGCAGCTGCTCTGAGGGGCAGCTGCGTACTGCACAGGGGCACCAAGGAAATCACAGACGCCCACCTGAGGGCCAGCGCTAACCCCCTCAGCTCTGCCACGGTACCCAGGGAGATGCTCTCTCCACTAGGACCCACTGGGTTGGCCCCAGAGTGACAGCTGGGGAGCCATCCACCAGCCAAGGGTGCAAATTCAATTAACCCTCAGACGCACTTGGCAAATTTGGCTTCAGTTTCTGTTAAGCGCCCCGTAATAATAAGCCCTTTAAGTACAACCTCCTTGGCTATCTCCTGCCTTCTAGAGCGTTCAAGGTCAGCGAGCCAGGACTTCCTGCCACTGCTGGTGCTATGAAATATTGATGACCATGGAGGGTAGCCTGGCTCCCTCCCCGATTAGCAATCCTTTCATTCATCATAAACCTCCTGCAGGAGGCAAATTAATTCTGCTTAATAACATTCAATTACTGATTCAGTTTAAGAATGAGACTGTGGGTGGCAAAGGTTCAAATTTCCTCTTCCTCTCTCCTCTGGCTCATGATTAGTGGGGGACAATCAAGTTTAGGATTCCAAAAGAAATTCTGGGAATGCCAAGTTATCGTCAAGGTGATTATCCACAGGAGCCTCCTCCAGGAAACCAAAGAGGGCTGGCAGGGCAAGTCTTCCCAGGGGACTCTTCCCACAGCTGAGAGGACAGGACCCTCACATACAGAGCTGCAGTGGCCTCTGCACACAGGTGGCCTCTGAGGAAGGGGATCACAGCCGGCAGATCACCAAACGCTTGCTTATCTGGCCACCTCTCTGGTGTTTTGCTACTTTATGTATTTTTTTTGTGGTGATAGGATGGAACCCAGGGCCTTGTGAGTTCTACCACAGAGCCACATGCCCAGCCCCACTGTCATGTTATTTTTTAAAAATGAAATCTCTCTGCCTCTCATCCTTTTCTTTTCCAAATTTATTTGTTCTCTTAGTTATACATGACAGTAGAATGCATCCTGACATGTCACCTATACATGGGTTCTGATTTCTTGTAGTTGTCATCCTTTTCTTTTGAGCCCTGATTGAGCTAAACCCTGGGACACTAGGCGTGCCCCTGGGAGAGGGACACTAAAGCCTGAGCTGGACACAGGGTTGGGAACAGGCCAGGGTTGTAAAAGGCTTCCCAGAGGACAGGATGCCACAGACTTCGCCATCTCTAGGAGCTCACGGCTCCACTGTGCCCACAGCACTCTGTCCAGCGAGCCCCCGCCGGAGGGAAGGAGCCGAGCCCCTGCACAGGCTGGTACTTCTTGAACACGAACACTGAGTCCTCTCCCTAGGGCTGACTGAAAAACCCAGCATCAACCATTAGATCGTTTAAGTCACACACGAGCTTTCCGTCTCTTCTGAGTGCTGCCGCTGAGTGAGTCCTGGCAGGACACTGCTGCTGGCTTCCTTGAGAACCATCAGTCAGAGGCGTCCCAGCGTCAAGCGGGGGCAGGGATGAGCAGGATGGAGGGAGGACTCCCAGCCTGCAGGGAGCTCAGGAAGGGAGGGCAGCTCAGCGTGACTGCACCTTGGGGAGGCCAGGAAACTCAGGGCGAGGAGCAAAGCCCAAAACCAAGCTGGGCCATCCTCCCTGTGGGTCCAGAGGGCCCAGAGTTTTTAGCCATGCGGCGCCACATTACATCACAGTTCAGAACTGTCATGAGAAAAGACGGAGGAAGCCAGGAGGAAGAGACTGACCCCGTGAGACCTGGAGTCTGTGGCAGCGCCTGTGACAGGCGGGGGTCTCTATGGGTGTGGATCGATCAAGGTGCGGGCAGCACAGCAGACAACCCCTCGGCCCGCCAGGAAGAAGAATGCCAGAGGTGGGGCCACAGGGAAGGAAGCAGGGGCTGATGGGGGAGCAGGCCCTGCAGGTCTCCATGGGTGGGAGGTGGGGGCTGGGGGGACGAGAGCAGAGGGCGCCACGCTGGCTGGCCTCTCCCGGGCATCGTGTGCCACCACATTACACTCTCCAAGCTGAGCAGACCCTGAAGGTAGGCAGGTCCGACCAGCTGCACGAGTGAGCCCGCACCCTCACCTCCACGTGCCAGAGAAAAGCGTCACCACAGCAGACTCCATGCCACGTAGGATGCACGAGGGCTGACAGATGGGCCCTGGAGCCAAGGAGTATCACCTCTAAGACACACAGCCACATACACAGTCCCAAGGTTTCCCAAAACCCACGAGTCGTGTTGATGTCATTTCCAGTCACCTGCAAGACGTTTGCTAGGACTGCTGCTGGCAGGGACCAGGCTTCCAAGGCCCCCACTGGTATCCTAGTCATGGTCCAAGCAGTGAAGCTTTTCCTCCTATGCTGGGGACAGAGCCCAGGGCCTGGGGCATGCTCAGCAGGCACTCTACCGCTGAGCTCCATCCTTGCCTCTGTGAGGTGCTAAGAAACAGGAGAGAAGAGTGGTCCGAAGCACAAGCTCTGTGAATCCAAGCACCTGGAGTTCAGACTCCAACTCTGTTGCTTGCTGGCTGTTATGATCTCAGGTAAGTCATCTAACCTCTCTGAGCCTCTGTTGCTTCATCTCTTAGGCCAGAATACCAACACTTACCCCTAAATGTTTTGGACAAATACCCAGACTGTACGTGAAAAGCCAATGGCTCACAATAAGCTACCCGAACCCGATGTTACAGTATTAGAACCTGTTAGGATTATATGGATTAACCCAGCACCAACAGTGGCAAATACTGTGTCCCTGGGCTGCCACCCAGTGAGTCAGGAGGCTGAGCAGGGCGGTCAGCTCAGCTCGAAGCCTCACCAGCACTGTGCAAAGAGCAACCAAGCAGCAGGCCTCCCTTTGCTTTTCTCCCAAAGACCTTCCGGGAGCCAAGGAGGCTGACAGCTGGCTGCTGTGCGGGCCTCAGGGGAGCTGGGCTCCCTTGGGTGAAGGCTCCCGAGGCTGGCTGGCTATTTCTGACCCTGCCACTGAGGAGCAGCAAATATGGTCAAAGAATGAGCACGGGGAGAGGAAACGCGTCACAGATGGAGCCAGGAGACCTGCACCCTGGCACCGGCACTGCTGTAACTCCATGCCTGCCCCCGGGCCGCGCCGCCTTCTCCAGGCCCTTGTTTGGAGGAGGATGTACTCTGTGGTCAGCACTTCTTCATGGCAATAGCTCACCATGAGCAGTCCCCTGGGGGGGGGCTTGGTGTTTTTTTTTAATATTTATTTTTTAATTTTTGGGGGACACAACATCTTTGTTTTATTTTTATGTGGTGCTGAGGATCGAACCCAGTGCCCCGCGCATGCCAGGCGAGTGCGCTACCACTTGAGCCACATCCCCAGCCCTGTTTTTTATTTTTTTAATGTATATTCATTTACAACAATTTTTGTGTCAATTTTATTGAGGTACAATTAACATACAGTAAGATTTGCCAGTTTCGTACGTGTGCATGTGGTGCTGGGATTGAACCTAGGACCTTGTGCATGCGTGGCACGAGCTCTACCAACCAAGCTGTATTCCCAACCCGGGGAGCTGGTTTTTGATCAGCTGCTCTGCCTGCCCCCATTCTTAAAGTGGTGGAGGGGGGTGCTGCGCAGACCTGGAAACCCCTGGAGGCAGAACAGGGAGCAGCTCCGGGAGCCTCTCCAGGGCCTGAGGCCTGCAGACCCCACTTCCTCTAGCTCTCAGGAAAATGGCCATCATTCCCAAGCTTCCTGCCGACGGGAACAGAATAAGTGCCTGCTGCAGCAGGCAGGGCCTCCACCCTGGCTCAACCCTCCCCAACCCAGCAGCAAAGGAGCCCACACACCACCCACGGGAGGTGCTGCCCCCACCTAGACTGTCGCCTTCCCTCTTTCAGTCACAGGGTGACTAGGCAGATTGCCCCTCCCCCCAGCTGGCTTCCCCTGGGAGGCCCTGGAACTGTGATGATGGCAGAAACAGCAGCACCGGTGGTGGCCATTTACTAGCAATCACCACAAGCCACGTGCCCAGTGGGTATCTGAGCTTCATCTCACGATAGCCTCTATGAGGGGGCAGCCAGCCTGGCAAAGGTTAGTATGTTATCGAAGTCACACGGTCCACCTGGAGAAGCCAGTATCCAAACTTGAGTGCACCCTCTCCAAGGACCAAGCTCTTAACACTGCACTTCACACTCAGAGGCCATGCTGGCTTTGGGGGTCTGCAGCTAGTCAAGGTGCCTGCCACACCCAGGAGCTGCCAGCAGTCTGCTCTGAGGCCTTAACACCCAGCGATTTATGGACCACACAAAAGGCAAGGCCCACAACAGCCTCTGAATGGGTGGAAAACTTGCCAGACAATCCTTGCCTAGGTGTAAAGAAAGCCCCAAGGCTTAACCCCCACCCCACCACCACCCCACCCCCACCCAGTGGCACACATCTGAGATTCCAGCAACTCAGGAAGCTGAGAAGGGGGGCTGCAAGCTCTGGGCAGCCTCAGCAAGGCCCTGTTCCAAAATAAAAACACAAAGGGCAGGGGCGGCTCAATGGTAGAGCACCCCTAGGTTCAATCCCCAGGAAGAAAAAGAAATCCCACCTATCCCTCCTCCCTATTCCCACTTCTTTCCTGCTGTGCTTCAGAGGGAACTGTGAGTCAAACAAAAAATCATAAAACATGGATAATGGCAAAGTCAGGATGGCACTGGAGCCACTGGGACTCTCTGGTGGCAGCAGCTCAGATCTGCCTAAGCTCTGACTCAAGAGACCCCTGCTGGGGGCTGGAGAAGCTATGCC